ACAAAATTGAGAAATTTACATTTCCTGGCTTCGAAAATTACTATAAAGCTACAGTAATCAAAATACTTGCTTCAGGACAGACACCGAGACCAATGGAACAGGACCCAGCACCCAGAAACGAGCCACCAAGTATATGATGAGCTGAATGTCAACGAGGGTGCCAGGACCACTCAAAGGGGAAGGTGCACGGCTGTCCACAAGCGGAAGACCAACGCTGGGCCCTCATCTCACACTACACACAAAAATGGACTCAAAATGGTCAAACACCTGAATTTCAGGACTAAAACTATTAAACTCGTATTAAAAAACCACAACCACAACCACAACAACAACATGGGGAGAGGCTTCAGGGACATCAGGTTGACAAGTATTTCTCGGATATGACATCAAAAGCATAGGCAATAAGAAGAAAATAAAGTGTTCTCAATCAAGGAGAAACTTTTGTGCCTCACAGTATATTGTCAAGAGAATAAAAAGACAGAATGGGAGAAAACAGTCATAAATCCTCTCCTGGTAAGGGTTTGATTTCCAGAACATAAAAGAAGTCCATAGCAACAGCGAAACACCCCAAACAACCCCATTCACAAGTGGGCAAAGGAGCCGAACGGACGTTTCTGCAAAGAAGATGCACCAACGGTCAGCAAGCTGACAAGACGCCCCCGTCATCAGTTGCCAGGGGAAAGCAGACACTCACGAAGGTGGCTTTTAGGCAAAGGGGTGAGGCCAACAAAGCCTTGGTGAGGATGCGAAGAAACGAGAACCCGACACACTGCTGGTAGGGACGCAAAACACAACCAGTATGGCGGTTCCTCAAGATGCTAAACACACAACTGCGGCATAAGCCTGCAGCTCCACTCCCGGGGGTCCGCTCAACGGAAGCGAAAGCGGGCATCCGAATGGACGTTATGTGACAACATTCGCAGCGGCGTCGGCGACGGTATCCAAAAGCCACAACCCGAGTGTCCATCCCAAGACGAATGGACAGAGGTTTGGTCAGGCGTCCCTGGGATGTTACTCGGTCACGAAAAGGAGGGAAGCACCGACAGACCGCACTGTGCGTGAATGTTGACAACATCACGTGAAGTGAAAGAAACCAGACAAAAGGACACACACCGTGTGACTCCACTTACATCCGGTATCTGAGAACAGGAGGATTCACGGAGACAAAACGTAAATTAGTCAGTGCCCAAGGCCCAGAGGGAGTAATGGGGGGGTCGCCCCTGAACGTTCACAGTTTCTGTTTGGGATGACGGAGAAGGTCTGGGAATAGACAGTGGTGACGGCTGGACAATACTGTGAATGCGATTAATGCCACTGAATCATACAGACAGAAATGGCAAATTTTATGTTATCTTTATTTTACTGCAATCAAAAAAGATGAATGATGTAACATACTAAAACCCACTGCACTGTAACTTAAATAGGTGAATTGTATGCTCTGCGAATCCGATGTCAAAGCTGTTGGAGACCAGACGGAGGGGCGGCCGATGCGTCTAGCATCACGCGCCGTCAAGAAAACGCAAAATGCAACCACAGTGAGAAGCCACCTCCCGCCATCAGCAAGGCCGAAGCCGCAGGACAGGTAGGGACGGGTGGTGGCAAGGACGTGACAGAAGGAAGCCCCCATCCGCTCCTGGTCGGAACGTGGACTGCCGTGGCCACGTTCGCGGGAAGTCCAACCCGCAGTCGCCACGTGGCCCAGCAAGACCACCCCCGGGTGTCTACCCAAGAGACACCTGTGCACACCTTTCACAGCTGGACTGTTCCAAACGGCCCCCGGCTGGACACAACCCAAATGTCCACCCACTGACCGACGAATGCCACGGCGTGGTCCAAGCACAACGGAGCAGCTTTCAGCCACAAAAAGAACACAGGCCTGATCTAGCCCACAATGCGACAACCCTCAAAATCATGTTAAAAGAGGGGCGCCACAAGGGGCGCCGGGGTGGCTCGGGTGGTTGAGCGTCTGACTCTTAGTTTCGGCTCGGGTCATGATCCCAGGGTCGTGGGATAGAGCCCCGTGTCAGGCTCTGCGCTGACCGTGTGAAGTCTGCTTGGGATTCTCTCTTTCTCCCTCTCTCTCCGCCCCTTCTCCACTCACTCCCTTTCTCAAAATAAATAAACGTTAAAAGAAGTTAAAAAAAAACTTTTTTTTTTTTTTTAAACCCCCCCCCCCCCCGCCCCCCCCCAAAACAAAAACGTAAAAGAAGCCAGGGGCACCTGGGTGGCTCAGTTAAGCATCAGGTCATGATGCCAGGGTCGTGAGATCAAGCCCCGTGTTGGGCTCCATGCTGAGTGTGTCTCCTGCTTGAGATTCCCTGTCCCTCTCTCCCCTTCTCCCCTGCTCTCTCTCTCTCAAAAAACAAACAAACAAACAAACAAAGAAAACAAAAAAGGAAGGAAAGAAGCTGGACAACAGAGTCTATGTGTTCGCAGATTTCAATATATGAAACGCCCAGGAACACACGAGTTTGCGGAGAAAGGAGGTAGGTTCCTCGTGCCTGGCGGGAGAGGGGCGCGGGTGGGACTGACTACGGACGGCAGAAGGGCTGCTGGGCGACGGACACGTGCGTCCTAAACCTGGATCCTGGCAAGCAGACTGTGTACTTGCAGCGGGGGAACCAGGTGATGTGTGCACTGGGCCTCAATAAAGCTGGGCTTCAATACATTTTTCTTAACGTTTATTTAGTTTCGAAGGGGGCGGGCGCAGAGAGAGAGGGAGACACGGAATGCGACGCAGGCTCCGGGCTCCGAGCCGTCAGCACAGAAAGCTGAGTGGAGACAGGGGTGGTTTCACGGGTGGTTTTGGGGGACAGGACCCCCCGTGTGGAAGAAAACTAAGTGACGTCCTACCTCACACCACAGCCAAGTCAGCGACACCTGCTCTTGCCCCAGGCCTACTCGGAAGGGGGCAGATGGGGCCTTAATCACCACAGTCCCCCAGACCCTCGAGACCCTCATTAGCCCAATCTTGCCGAACAGGAAACTGAGGCCCTGCAGGATGAAGGGGGGGTGGGTGCGGGGAGGGGGGCCAGGGCCTGAGCCCCTGTCCCAGGGCCTCCCTCAGGCCTCCCACACGGTGGCCTCAAAGCTGCACCCAGGAGGAGGATGGAGAGGGTCCCAGTGGCCCTGGGAGGGGGCAGGTCCTGGAACAGGACGGCAGGGGGATGGTGGAAGGACTCTGACCCACACACACCGGACAGATTTCAGCCTAAGCAACGGTACCTCAGCAGAGTCAGTCGCTGATGACAGCCATGCAAACTCAGCCTGTGACTCTGGAGCCAGAGGACACGAGAGCTTCTGTGAGGCAGGGCACTTCAGGAGACAGGAGGGGCCGTGGTGGGAGTGTCCCCAGCAACTCGGCTGATTGCCAGGAGCCCCACAAGCAGGCCGGGCACCCCACGCAGGCCGGGCCCTGACACACAGGCTGGGCACTGATGCACAGGCCGGGCACCCCACGCAGGCTGAGCGCTGACGCACAGGCCAGGCACTGATGCACAGGCCGAGCACTGACACACAGGCTGGGCACCCCATGCAGGCCGGGCACTCACACACACACACACACACACACACACACACACACACACACACACACACACGTTATCCAGACAGAGGACAAGCAGGGCACCTTGGCTGATGCCAGGTCGAGCGGCCGTGGGGACCCACCACCGGGACCGTGGAGAGACAACCCACTGCGACCCCATGTCGTCTGGCTAGTGCGTCCTGAGCGAAGGCAAGGGGTCAGACCAAGGGCCCGGTGGGCGGGGCGGAGGCTGACCTCTGAGCTGTCCAGAGCGGCGGTGTGGCCCCCGAAAAGGGAAGGGAGCAGAGATTTACTCCCGGCCTAAATTATTCACAAGAAAGGGGAGCGCGCCTCTTTAACAAGCCGTGGCTTTATGAAGCAAGGTTAACAATTTCACTTGATTCAGTGGAATATTATAAACTCTCTGGGGCCCATTTGAGGACTTGTACTTCAGGCACAAGGCGACGACTCAGCACTTTTTATATTATTTAGAGAATAAAATTAACCCTCACCGGCCCAGGCTGCTGCCGCTCCTGCCGCTGGATCTGGCCTGCTCAGCGCTTTCCCCCATATATAATTACAAGCTGCTATCCATCATGTGGCAGCCACGGCACCGACACGCCGAAAGGGACACAGTAAGCACTTCCACTAACGGCAGCAGAACTTAAATATCACTTTGATACTTTCATTTAAACCGGAATATCTTACAGTCATCGCGCACAGCCTCCGCGGGGGTCCTGCCACTGCACCCCAGCCCACCGGGCCCTGGTCTGAGCCGCTCCCAGGCCCCGCCCCATGGGGCGGGGCCTCTCCGCCAGGGTTCTGGGCGTCCTTCAAAGTGACCCACCAGCTGCGGGTCAGGTCCCCAGGTTTGCCAAGCCCGGCCCGGCCTGGGCCCTGGCCTTGCGGCGGGAGGGAGAGGACGCGGGGAGGGAGGGGGCACGGGCCCCGCGGTGTGAAACGCACTGACGCGCGCTCCCCTTGCCCAGGCCCAGTCCTGCTGCCCTGCCCACCGGCGGTCCCCAGGAAGTCCCAGCTCCGGTGCCCCCACAGTCCAGACTGCAGGTCTCGGCACTGGCGAGGAGGCTCCCTCTCGGGGCACCAGGGGCCAGAGAGGCCCGTCCTGGGGTTCCCAGCCCAGGACACTGCTGCCCTGGCAGGCCCGGGCCACAGAGATGAGGAGGGGCTCCTTCTGGAGAGCGGGACGGAGCCGGGGTGCTCAGCTGCCGGGGAGCCCCAGCACAGCAGCCCCTCGCCGACAGGTGAGGGCAGCAGCAGTGATGGGCCCGAACACAGGAGGCAAAGCAGGCGCTAGCCTGCGGGTGGCCCTTGCGACCCAGTTCCCCAATCCCTTCACACTGGCCCCTTCTACCCTCGCCACCCTGGGGTTCTACGCGCTCCAAGGAAGGCTCGGAGGAGAGTGGCTGGTCCACCGCTGGGGGCTGGGGGCTGCCGGCCACCCTCCCGCGCCCCTCACCTTTGCGCCCAGTGGGCAGTAGCCTTTGAGAAAGTCCGTGCAGACCTCCGCCTTCCGGGACACGTAGACGTGGCTGTACGGACAGTTGCTGTTACTGCAGATCCCCTTCAGAAAGTACGAGCACACGGGCATCTGTGGGGGCAAGGGAGCAGGTGGTGAGGACCCGCAGGCCCCTGCAGCGCCCCTGGGCGCATGGGCCCCGTCTGCCCGGTACTACCAGAGCCCCCCCGTCCAGCCCTCCATCAGGCGCCTGCCTCCCCTTTACAGGTAAGGCAGCAGGTCCCCCCTGAAGGACCGACCGCCTGGGGCTCCGAGGCCAGGCACAAGCCGTGCGGAGACTGTGGCTGGAGACCCACACCCCCAAGGGAGAAATGGACACACAGTGCTGGCCAGCACCTGAGGCCAGGCCAGGTGGGGGCTGCCAGCCCTCAAGGCAGACAGACCCCTGGCTTCCCCAGAAGGCAAGGCTGCCGGGGCAGGGCACAGGCGAGGATATCCAGGCGGGGCTGGCCCCAGGCCTGCAGGACGGCTCGGGCTGTCACCTGAGCCTGTCACCTGCTCTGAGACGGCCCCAGTTTCCAGGCAGTGGGGCCGTGGTGGGATAGGCGTCTAAAAGCGCAGGGGCTGGAGGGTCAGGGGGAGACAGAGCACGGGGGCTCTAGGTAGAGCAGCGGCCGACAGGGCCCGGAAGGTCCAGCAGATTTCCCCACTGCTTGGGCACCTGGCAGCATCTGTGGGCCGGAGGCCTGACTCCACCCAGGGAAGCCTGTGGAGGGACTCTGGGGAGGCAGGCAGGTGCCCCGGAGCAGCCTGGGCTGCGCTGACCACAGGCTGGTGCTGCAGAGGCCTGGCAAGGGGCCTGGCTCCAGTGCCCCGGAAACCAGCAGGTGAGCCCAGGGGGACCCGGGGCGGGTATGGAGTGGGCAGCCTGGGCAGACCCGTGTGGCCCAGCACCCCCTGGCCCCTGGGACACAGAGAGGCGGCCCACTTTCTCCCCACAGGGGGAAACCGAAGCCTGAGGGCCAGCAAGGAGGGGTCTCTGATCGTGCCCACCCTGACCTCTGCAGTTGCCAGGCAACTCTTCTCTGGGGCCCCTCCCCGGACCACCTCCTGGGCCGTCTGGTCACCCCCTAGGGGGTCTCCCCACCTTCGGCAGGCCTGTTGACCCTCTGGGGGGGTCTCTCTGGGACCCCCTCCCCTCCCCTCCTCTCCTCTCCTGTCGGACCCGCCCCTCACGCACCCCACCGCAGCCCCCGGCCCCCAGTGGGTCTCCACCGGCTGGCACTCCGGGGTCTGGCGCCGGCCTGCCAGGGGCCCCACACAGGAGCCTCGGGGGGTGGGGGGGGGCAGAGGGGAGGGCAGTGAGGGAATGAGGGAGAAAGCAAAGAAACAAAGGGTGATTTAACGTGCAAGAGTTTATTTTTAATTGTCTTTTAACTGCAGCGCACGGGGGAGAAGGGCCGGCCCGTTTGGGGCTGCTGGTGGTGCGGCTGCAGACAATTCCCTTAATGTGGCTTTTGATATAGAGCCCAAATTAGCTCTAATAAAAAGGGATAATAAAGCCAACTCTCACAGCCAACGGAGCCCCTCCTAGCTGTCAGCACGGCCGTTACCGAGAGGAAGCTGCATCCTCGTTTCAATTAACCTTGTTTGCACCCACCACGTCCACACAAATAACAATAACATTAATTCAGGGCGCTCGTGCGGGCGCCCACATCAGACAGCTCGGAATGTGCGCCAGCTTCGGAGCCGGAGCTAATGAACCTGAAACTCGACGTGAATTTCCAAATTGCTCACAACAGAGTTTCGAAGCTCTATTAGGGAGAAAAATGCTGATTCTCTTCAAGTTCCTCAAGGGGAAAAGCTGTTGTAGCGGCAGCAGCCTCGGCCCGACCCCGCCTCCCCTAACCTTGCCGCGGCCCCAGAGCAGGGTGGGGGTGCTGAGAGGGGTTCCCCGTGCTCACGGAGGCCGAGGGGAGGGGCCCGGAACGGAGGGGCCCAGCGGTGCACCTCCCTGTCCTCCTCTGCCCTTCCTTCCGGCACACCCTGCCTCAGCCCGCTGCCGGGCGCCCACCCCGGGGGGTGGCTGGAGGCCGCTGCTCCTGGGCACGTGGCAGCGGTGGCCACACAGCCGGCTCCCGAGCCGAGAACCGTGGGGCAGTGCCTGCAGGGGGCGCGGGGGGAGGGGGGGGGGCCTCACCTTCTCCTTGGACACATGGTGGGAGAAGGGGCACGTCCCGTCTGTCTTCTTGCACGTGCCCCGGAGAAACCTGTGCAAATGAGAGGAACAGGGTCAGAGGGGCTGGCGTGGGCAGGGACCCCTGCGGCGCCCGCCCCCGAGGCTCACCTGGTGCACACGGCCACCTTGTCGGGGTCGTGGATGTAGGGACAGTGCTCGCCGTGGTTGCACCTGCCGAAGCGGTTGTAGTACATGCAGTATTCCTGCTGCTGCTTCCGCCGCCGCTGCCTTGCCTGCCGGACGATGGCCAGGCTGCGTTGCACGGCCCGGCTGTGGACAGGGCGGAGGTGCGTGAGCCCGGGGGACCCCTTCACCCCCATCCCGTGAGCCCCGAGCCCAACCCTGAGGGACGTACCTGGCCAGGGAGCGGCTGCAGCTGCTGGCAGGGTCCAACCGGCCTGTGGGGCAAGAGGCCGGGTCACGTCAGGCCCGCGGGCAGCTGGCTCTCCCGCTCCCCACCAACCTGCTGGGCGCAGCTCCCCCCTGGGCCCCGGTCTCGGCTCAGGCACTGCTGCCCCCGAGGGGAGACTGCCTGCCCTCCTGGGACGCTGCCGGACCAAAGCCCACCCCGTGCGGGGGGGGGGGGGGGTGCCGTACAGGGACCAGATCTGGCAGCACAGCTCCAGGCGACACTGGCTACTGAGCAGCGGCCTCGTCTCAAGTCAGGTGGTCCCAGGAAAGCCTAGGTGCTGGGGGCCTCCCTACTACCTTCCTCTGCCGGGGGCAGGGCCTGGGGCTATGAGACCTGAGTGGGGTCCAGAAATTCCACCTGGCTTCACAGTAGCCACTAACGATTCTTATGAATTTAAAGGGTTAAATGAAAATATAATAGTAAGTACGTGGCCACAAAGCCTGACGTCCTCACTCCCAGGCTCTACAGGGACCTACGTGCCGACCTGGGCCCACACAGGCCCCGGACAAGCACATCCGGCCCGGAGACCTTCGTGGGCCACGGCGCATGCCCACCCCTCCAAACCCTAAGTGCAAAGACCCGTCAAGTCCTCTCTGAGGTCACTGACTGTGGCCCAAAGGGGAGCTGTTCATGAAGTGAACGGTGGTGACGAGAAGGGAGCAGGTGACAGGATGCTCAAAGCCAGGGGACAAGGGGCAGGTGGGCACTGTCTGTCCTGTGCAGGCAGGGGGCAGGAGTGCAGACTGACGTACAGCCCCCTGCTTCCCTTTTGTGGATGAGGTCACTGCCCCCCAGGACCAGGGTGGGCCGGGCAGGGCCCAAGACCGCTCAGATGTTCCTCAAACACACATGTGAACCTTCCTAGACCAGATTCCATTTCGCACAGGCAGCTGCTGAAATGGATCCGGTGGCAAGAGGCAGAAGTGACATCACTCAGAAATTCTAGGGACCTGAGGCAATGACAAAGCATCCAGGCTTAAAAAGGGATGTCCCCAAGCTGCCTGGCTCTGAGCCGCCCCCATCGGAGCTGCATGGGAGGCCTGGGCAGGTGGCCCTCCAGCCACCCAGAGGCCCCTCCCTCGGCCTCCCCAGGACGATCTGTGCCAGGACCCGCTCGGCTCAGTCCCGTCCAGAGTTCCAGACCCGGTCACGCAAGCATTCTGACACTGCATGTGGCCCCCGGGCTGGACCTTCAGGCACCCCCTTCCACATCTAGCCTGCTGCCAAGCCCTAACCTCTCAGTGGACACTCCACACAAACACTCCATGTGCCCTCTCAGGGCCACCGTCCCCTGACCAGTGTCTGCCCCTCTCTGAGCCTCAGTCCCCTCAAGCTGAAGCGGGGTGGCTCCAGGGCTGCGTGGTGAGACCCCCACTGAGAAGGAACTGCTTGGCCCAGGGGCCCAGGCCCAGGGGCTGGCCGAGACGGGAACGGGGCCGGTTCCAGAGCGGGCAGTGGGGAGCAGGGCGGAGAGGAGCTGGGCGGCCCGGGGCCACAGCGGAGTCCCGGCTCCCCAGCTGGGGATGCAGGTCCTGGGGTACCGGCTGGAGGCCAGTCCAGGTGGCACGGGGTGCTCGCACACCTGCCCGCCCCGGGGATGACGGAGTGCAATCTGATCGCTGCTGGGAGCGCGGCTTCCCGGGCTGCCACCCAGGCTGCCGGTGCCTCTGTGGCGCCATCTGCTCCTGCCAGGGCCCACGGTCAACATGTGTCTGCCTGTCAGGCCTGGTGTCTGAGGGGGCAGGGCGGGGAAGGGACAGGTTTACTCCCCTTTCCGTGGTTTGCTCTTAAAAAGATACCAGTGTGGGGCTCGCAGCGGGAGGCACTGTTCAAACCCCGAGCGGTGCTAAAACATGCACATAAAGCAGCTGCTGGAAAAGAGGCCGCGAGGTGCTGCGGGCGCTGCAGCGTTCGGCTGAAAACCGTCGGCAACCGCGGAGCAGGCGGTGCCCAGCCTTCCGAGAGCTGCGCTGCCCGGGGATCTTCCCAAAATAGACCCGGCGAGCTTGGCATCGCGGCCCCACCCCTGCCAGCCCCCACCGGGCAGCGCCTCACCCTTCACAGGCCAGCGAGCCCAGGCAGGGGCTCTGGGGTCAGAGGGAGCGGCTGGGCAGCACAGCCAGCTTCTGCAGCCCCGCGGCGCCCCGGCTGGCCCGGCCATTCCCAGGAAATCGTGGCCCTCGGAGGAGGGGGCCCCAGGAAGAGGCATCCAGAAGGGAGGCAGGCAGCGGGGTGGGGCCTTGGGTGCGTGGCTCCCAGCCCTCTCTTGTGCCCTCTCAGCACAGGGTGGGGTCAGCAGGTCACAAATGACTGGATAACCTGCCCAGGGGTGTGTGGTGGCCGACGAGCAGCAGGGAGCCTACCCCAGTCTGCCTCCCTCGGGGAGCTGGGGGCCGGCCCCGCAACCTAGGCCGGGGGAGGTGGCTCTGGCAGACACACTTGGGGCCTCTGCTCCACGGCAGGGACCAGCGGGCTCTTGGGTCCGCGACGTATGCCAGGCCTGATGGAGCATGAGCCGCAGCCCACACCCGGGTGCACCCAGGTCGGGGGCCAAACCACACAAGGAGAGGCCCCCGGGGCTGGGCCCTGCGGGTGGGCAGGCCTGAGAAGCGGGAGGGAAGTCCGTGGCCACTGGGCTCGGGGGGAGGAGGGTGCCCTCCACCTTCCCCGTGGCTCGGGGGACCCCAACCAGGGGCCAACACTGTCCCAGAGAGGCCCAGCAGCTGGGAGCCAGAGTCAGGATGGGGGCGGGCTACCTCCCTGCCGGGGTCAGAGTTCTGCTGACAGAAAAGGAGAGATTTCTTTCTTTGATTATTATTCGTCTAAGCAGGCCACTGGCCAGTGGGAGCTCCTGCAGCTGGGGGCGGCCTACCTTCTCCACAGCAAGCGGTTGGGGGTCCGGGTGGCTGGAGCTGGAGGCGGCGGGGGCGGGGGCGGGGGCCGGGGGGGGGGTCCTCGGTGGGTTCTGGCTCCAGCTCTGCCTCACACCCGGGACATGCCACCCAGTGGTCTGCGTTCCAAGTCCTGCCTCCGGCCCCCGCCTGCCCTGAAGTTAGGGTGGGGGCTCCCGGGACCCTGCCTGTACCCTGAGGCCTGCGTCCTCTCTTTATGGCCCGAGGCCAGGCGGCCGGGACACCCGGCGCGGTGAGGCCGTAGCTCTGTCCCGCTCTGTGTCCCGAGGAGACCGGAATGCTGTGTGGCTGTGCACCTGCAGGGGCATGGGCTCAGCGAGGCGCCTTCCGCAGTGAGATGACACAGGACAGCCGTCTGCTCAGGTGTGGTGCGGCCTATGCCGGGAAGGGAGGGGGAGCCCCACAGCCCCTTCTGCTCTCTGCTCTCCCACCCCAAGGCAGCGGGCGGCCCGGGGTCTCCCGGGAGCTCTGGCTCGCCTCTCTTGTTCCCTCCCTCAAGCGGCAGCCACGCGGCACAGACCCGCCTCTTCCTCTCTGCCTCCAGGTGCCCCTCCTCCCACCATGGACTCGAGGGGCCGGGTGGTGGGTGCGGCCCCACCCCAAAGGGGCCCACCAGCCCGCCTGAGGTCAGGGCCCACGTGGAGCGGCCCACACGCAGCCCCAAACCACAACCCACTTCGGGTCCCTGCTGTAGACAGTGTGAATGCCAGGACGGCCAATGATGATGTCTGGCCGGGCCAGGGAGGAGTCCCTCACACCCGGTGTGAATAAGCAGCCCCCGGCATCACCGGGGCCGACGGGAGGTGAGGGTGCTGAGGAAATGTCAGCAGAACGGGCCTTATCGCTCGGGCCCGACCAGAATATCACTCCGCAGAAAGGCTGCCCAGCAGCCCTCTGTGGCTCCGTCCACCCCCCACAGCAGCCCGGGAGGGACAGCCCAGAGAAGGACCGGCGGCCACGTGTGGGGCCTCACAGACCATGAGCCATGCCATGGGCTGGCTGAGGGGGAGGGGGCTGTCTGCTCACCCACAGTGGCACGCCCTGGGGCCTGAGTCCCCAAAGGAGGCCCAGCCAAGGCTCTGAACCTGCTCCTCCACTGGGCAGCTAGCTGAGGCCAAGGTGGAAAGGCCCTCAGATCACACAGCCCAATCCCTTGAGAAAGGGATGGGGAAACTGAGGCAGAGAGACAGAGCAGAACCGTGGCCTTCGGGCCCCCCAGTGCCTCTCCTGCGCAGCCCAGTGCACTCGCCGCCCAGCCCCTAGTCCCACGTACAGAGGCCCTGGGGACACAGCTGGACAGGGCTTCCAGGAAGGGCCCCCAAGCTACAGATGGTCCCAACGCCTGCCTCACCCCTGGTCCAGGCCTCTTTGGGGGGTGGGGGCCGGGAGCAGCTGGGTCTCTGCAGGCCCCACACTGCCTGCAACCTCACCCTTTTTTTCTTGACAGAAAAGGATGGGGGTAAAATTGGACTGAAACCCAAATATTTTCTAGTTAATTTGTATAATAAGCGAATCCAAAGCATTTCCTTCTCCTCGGCCTGTTTCCCCAGGCCGCGGGGGCATGCGTGGTGGTGGCGGCAGCGGCTGCCTCCAGACACAGCGGGAGGCATTGCCAATGAGATTACGGGGCGCCGTGGCCCCAGGTGTTCGCCCGCCAGGACCGTGTTCACCATACCTGGCTCATCTCCTTTGTCCAGGAGCAAAACGTGGAAAATCAGGGCCCGCTCGGCCGAGCGAGAGGCAGTGCACGTGGGGGCTTCCCCAGGGGACGTGGGGGCCGAGAGGCCTCCCCATCCGTGCCCGGGCTGCTCCGGCTGCCCCGTTGGCTCCGACAGGGACGGCTATGGGGGCCCGGCAAGCACTGAAGGGGAAAATGAGCTCCCGGCCTGGGCCGTGGCCCATTTGGGAAGCGCTCACGGGGATCGGCTCCCTGGGAACATGGGGTCATGGGCGAGCCGCAGCAGCCGCCCACGATGGACGACGCGTGGTGGGGAGTCAGGAGCCAGGCCCAAAGGCTTCCTGGCCCCCACCTCCGAGGAGCCTCACCTGTGCGCGGGAGGGGCCTGGTGGCGCCATCGCCGCCAGGCCGGCCGGAGGTCTTGGAGAGCTTGTTGGCCGACACCTTGTAAAGGACCCCTCCGATGCAGCGGTAGCCTTTGTTCCTCCACCGAGGGGGGCTGGCCTGTGCTTTCCCACCCCCGGTGGTGGGGCGCAGGCGATTCAGCACCAGAGACCTGCAGAGACAGAGAAATGCCCAGTCGGTCCGGCCCCAGCCGCCCGCAGTCCGTCACCCACTGTCCCCAACCCCACTCAGCCAGGCTGAAGGGGCGCAGGTAGGGGACAAGTCTCCCCCTCCATCATGTATAGCGCTGCACGTGACTGTCCAGGCCCTGGCCTTCTGACAGCGTCTCTTGAGGGAGGTCCACTGTGGGGGAAAGGCTCCTGAGGTCCACACCAAGACTGGTGGCCGTCACCACTGCCTGGGAACATCTTCCCCCCAGACGCTGCTCCAGCCCACGTCAGCCTGGCCTTTGGGACAGCAGGTGCTTTGGGGTCAGCAGGCCCCACGGCCAGTCCTGCCCCGCCCCTCTATCCACCACACGAGAGCCCAGCATCGAGATCCTCACAGAACCCCACGCAGGCAAGCCATGTGGGAGAAAGACGGGGGAGATGATGGAAGGGGTGTGGGACAGCCTGCGGGACTCGCTGAGTGGATGACCCGGGCAGGGAAGGCAGACCAGGGCCTGGATGGCCCTGGTGGACACCTGCCCACTCCTTCCCTCCAAACTCTCCTCCCACAGGGTCCTGGGCCCCGTCCTGCCAGAAACCGGCACCCCCCCCCGGGGAAGCCAAGGGCGGAGTGGATCGGGAGGAGGCCCTGGATGCCCCCACTTAGAGAGACATTCCCCTGCAGACACCACAGCTGCGGTGGGCGGCAGCCGCAGGCCCCCAGGCTGTTCTAGCCCACCCGCTCCCCGCCCCCCCAGGGGTCACACGGGCAGGCTGCCACCCAAATGAGGGGACAAGGGCCTCCCACCCAGGGCGCCCGGCATGGAGACTAGCCAGCTTCATGACTCCAGAAGGGTGTGGGGCCTTTCCCCCTCAGGACACATTTCAGCAGCAATTTGTTTATGCAAATTGACCTTAATTCCATATTAGCTCAGACTCTGCTCATAATGTTATTACCACCAAGCGTCCACACTGCGCCCCACTGGCAAATCTGGGGCTGTGAGTGCCGGTGCCTGCCAGCAGCAGGAGGGCAGGGCGTGAGGAGGGTGGGCCTGGCCGCGGGCACCACCACCACCGGCAGCAGGGACCTGGTGAGTAGGCCCAGAGCAGCGCCATGGCGCCTTCCCTTCGGGTTCTCCAACGTCCTCACGCCGCCTCGCACCCCACGGCCCTGCAGCTCCCTTTCTGGGCGGGACGGGACGGGGCGGGGCGGGGCCTCCCGGCGGCACCCAGGCTGGTGGAGGGTGGTGGCATCGCGGCTGGGGGGGTTGACGCCACCCTCACCACATGGCCCCCTGGGCCTTGGTCTCTTTGCAACTCGGGGGTGATTCTCGCCAGCCAAAGCCTCTGAGGACACGTTAGACGGATCCTGTGCGCAAGCGAGCTGAGCTCAGGAGACCCACAGCTTCAGTGTGAGGACAGGCCAGGCAGCGAGGGCCGAGGACACCGCAGCCCGACGGCACTTAACCCAGTTTCCCTTAATTAAAACTCAAGTTCACAGACACCAATCTTGGGAAAAAGTCCCGCCAAGGGACCGCGGCCGGCCTGGCTCGTGCCATGCGTGCCCTAAAGGCCCCAGCTGTCCCTGCACAGGGTACCTCTTGGCAGAAAGAGGGCAGGGTGGGGGGGTGTCCTCTGGGGGAGAAGACAGACCTCCAGGCTTTCCGCAGACCCTGGGGCCCCAGCTCTACCCACCCTGGTCTCGGGGTATTGATGTGTCCGGTGAGTACCTGCCTGTCCCCTTGGCTGGCTCAGAGGTCAGGCCGAGGTATGAGGAGGGTGGGGCCGGGCAGGTCCATCCCGTGTGCCCGCACCTGCCGCAGAGCGCCGTGAGCTCAGAGGTGGCTCCGGACCCTCCGAGGGCGCCGGGGTCATTGTGCACAGGGCACAGCTTGGCCTGAGTCCTAACCCCACGACAGAGAGCTGAGCTCAGGGCGAGTGGCCACCACAGCTGGCTCAGCCACAGGCCAACGGGCCGCCAACAGCCCTGGCCCCCAGCCCCACGACGTCCAGAACCCTCAGCGGTGTCACCACTGAGAGGGGCAGCTGGGAAGCCTCCGCTCTGCAGCCCTGGGGCTCGAGTGCGCCGGCAGTAAGCCCAGCCCGCGCACACAGCACACTCAGCCCTCAGGGCCAGACCCCAGACGGCCCAGCAGGCCGCGCAGCGAGATGGCACAGCTGTCACTTACCAGAATAAGGGCACCACTCTCAGCTGCCTCTTGCCTCGGGGCACAGACCCTCCTCTCCTGGGCCGCCACCATACCTGCACCCCATCCACACCACAGGACGCCACAAATCACGAGGGACAGGTGGGCAGGCAGACACGTGCCCCACCCCCTTCCCTGGGCCCGGCACCTCAGGATCCACCCCCCTCCCCGGATGCCCCAGAAACCCAGCCCTTCGAGGGGTGAGGGAGCTCACCCCCAGGCACGTGCCCCTGGCCGAGGCCAGACAGGGACAACTCAGCACTCCTTGGGGCAGTCACACAGGTGAAGCCGCAGACAGGGACCAGGCCCAGGCAGGGACCTGTGGAGGGGGAGGCTTGGCAGGCTCTCAGTTTAGAAGGAGCTAGAAGCTTCGGGATAGACTGCGTTCCAGCCCCGAGGGTGGTCCCATCCAGGCCCATCCCACAGCTCTGTACACAGAAGAGCCTCAGTCTGGGAGTTAACGGCTCCCCCTGAGAGTGGGACCCAGGGACACGCTCCTGGCTCCCCAGCTAGGCACTGGACACACCCAACGCCCTGCTTGGGAGAAGTGCCCTCCGTGGTTTTTCTTGGCTACAAGGCATACCTCACACATCGCTGATTATTCCCACACTTATTCTTATGGAGGACCAAGATTGGGAGATCGGTCTCCTCTCCCCCCAAAAAACTACGCCCCTGGGTCTGAATGGCAGTTATGGGACGACCACGGGCCACCTGGCAGGGCTGCAGGCCTAGCAGCTCGGTTCTCACGCCCTGGCTCAGAGTGGATGGTCTACGCACAGGTGGGCGCACGGCCCAGGGTGCGGGGCTGCCCCCACAAACAGCCCCGGGGCCCACCGTCTCCAGGGGCCCACGCAGGAGCCCCATGGTGCCACAGGACTGTTTGGAGGAGGTGGACGCAGCCACAGAACTCGGGGAGGGCTGGCCTGGGCTGGGGAAGGCCCACCTGCCCGCACACAGCCCAGCCTGCAGCTGCACAGGACCCCCTCCCTCACCCCGGCTGGTTCCACTCGCTGACTTGGGACCTGTGGCCAGGCAGGCGCCGGGCGGGCAGGGGCTGCCTTGTAGCTGTTCAGTGCCTGGGTGTCACGGCACTCCAGTAAATTGTTACCCTAATGGAGAGGACAGCCTTTGGAAACCAACTGTATTGAGAAGAGGGGATAAAATTAATGAGATAATAGCCGGGCCAAGGACCCGGAGAACGCGCCTGCCCTCGCGGCACGGGCCCTGTAATTCCTTTTCTACAACAGGAGCCTCAGATCTAAAGGCTTCTCCCATCCGTCCGGCAGGCCCACGCCGCCAGGAAATTTCATTAACGCTGGAAAATAGGAAAGGTATTAAGCGTGGATAATGAAGGCCAGGGAGGGAACCGTGCCTTAAGATAGTCCTCTTTCTCGCCTTTGTAATGGGAGGCATGAACTTTCCCTTCAAATCCATTTCTAATCCATTTGAAATACTACAGCAAATTATCTTTCCTTCAGCCCGAAAGCGGCCAGCCAATTTACTCCGAATAGAAGTGACAATGCCCCAGGATTTATCACCATAACCTTGACTACACCAGGGTGAGGGCTGGGCCCCGTCGCCCCCCCCCCCCCCCCCGGGGGGGGGCACGAGGAACGGGTGGGGGGAGATAACATTTTAAATGAAAAGCAGTGGTAATGGGGAGACAGACACACACACCACAGAAGTAGGTTTAAAAAGAAAAGCTGTCCACGTGTCTGCTGCCTGGGGAGCAGCTGGCAAGTTCCAGCCTGAGGCCACGGAGGCCACCCCCCGGGGGCGCCCGAGAGGAGGGACGGCAGGGTCTGGCCTAGACAGAGGGCCGCTCTCCCGAGAAGCCAGGGAGGACGGTGCTCGCCCATCTCCTGACCCTGGACGCCACACTCCCCACCCTCTGGGCATCTCCTGTGGACACTGCCTACAACGGGTCCACGCAGCCCCCAACACCGTATGCGGGCGCCCCTGCCCGCTGGGTCTGCGGAGACGGGCCCACTCATGGTGTCTTCCAGCTAGCGCGTGCACGTGAGGGGCGGACAGGCACACAGGCTCCCAAACACGTGAGCACAAGGACCCTGCCCGCCCTCCTGAGGCCCTGGCGCACCCGGCTCCCCTGCCCCCAGACCCGGGGCTGAGGACACAGCCGGTGAGGCCAGGGAGGCCAGGGGCAGGCTCAGGTGCAAGTGCATGAGGGGCAGGGGCGGGGTGGTCCCAACCTCCAAGAAACCCGGGACAGCGCACATCCCAAACTAGGAGCCTCCCCACCAGGCCCAAAGGCACCTTTCAACAAATACCATCTCAGGCTGCCCCGCACAGCCACCTTGCAGCTGAGGGGACCCCAGCCCCCACTCAGGCTCCCGGCAGTCCTCAGGTTTCCCCAAGGAAACCACACGTCACAGCCCACGTGGGCCCACCAGACTGGGGGACAGGGCCAGGCCAACGGGCCACACAAAGGCTGGGCACAGATCCACGTGCAGGACCGGAGGCCGCGCACCTGGATGGAAAGTCCCTGGCGGGAACCGGTGGCCACCTGCCCGCAGTGAACGCTGTCAGGCCCGCGGAGGCATTTTTGCCGGTGGGTTCTTCCCGCCTCCCTCAGCGAGGGCTCCTGCAGTCGGGATGGCCCCACAGACTGCCCCCCACCTTCCACACAGACCCCTCCCCTCCCTGGGGACCCTCACCCAGCCAGTGACCGCAGTCACCGAGGGACCCGCCGGGTCCCCACCCGGACTCAGAGCTCCCTGTTGGGGTCCCTGCACCCCCCTGTCCCGCCAGTTGGTTTGAAAACAGCACGTTTGACCAAG